ACTTGGAGTCGCATTTGATGTGGATCTGCCGAGCCCTCATGTTGGCAGCCAGCCGAAGGCCACATAGGAGGGCCTCATATTCGGCCTCATTGTTGGAGACCTTGAAGGAGAAGCGGATTGCATAGTAGGCCCTGAAGCCCTCGGGAGTAATGAGGACTACCCCTCCCCCGCATGCTTTGGTCGCGGAGGAGCCGTCAGTGTAGAGGGTCCACCAGTCGTCCGAGGTAGCCGAGGGCTCCCCGTCCGTGGCTGCCCTTGCGGTACACTCCGTCACAAAGTCCGCCAGGGCTTGGCCCTTGATGGCAGGCCTTGGGCGGATGTCAATGTTGTACTGGCTCAAGAAGATAGCCCATTTCACCATGCGGGAGGAGCTGGTGGGGCTCCTCATGAGGGCGCCGAGGGGTTGATGAGTGAGGACCTGAACTGGGTGAGCCTGAAAGTAGTGGCCCAACTTCTTGACAGTCCAAACGATGGCCAACACCGTTTTTTCCACAGGGGAGTACCTGAGCTCGGCCTCCCTTAGGGTCTTGCTAACGTAGAAGATGGCATGTTGGATGCCGTCTTCCTCCCGGATGAGCACAGAGCTGATGGCCGCTGGGCTAACCCCAAGGTAGAGGTAGAGGGTCTCCCCTACCTTGGGTTTGGAGAGCACAGGAGGTGAAGATAGATATCGTTTGAGCTCGTCGAAAGTCTCCTGGCATTCCGGAGTCCATAGAAAGCCAGCCGTCTTCCTCATGATCTGGAAGAAGGGTAGCGATTTCTCCGCCGATTTAGATAGAAAGCGGTTGAGGGCTGCCAGGCGGCCCGTCAACCGTTGGATTTCCTTCACATTGCGTGGGGGCTCCATATTGATGATGGCCTGGATCTTCTCGGGGTTGGCCTCAATACCCCTTCGGCTCACCATGTAGCCTAAGAATTTGCCCCCTTGGACGCCGAAGGTGCACTTCTTCGGGTTTAGCCGAAGGTTGAATTTTTGCATGATGGCGAAGATTTCCCGGAGGTCGTCAGCATGGCTGGAAGATTGCTTGCTCTTGACGATCATGTCTTCGACATAAGCCTCCATGGTGCGCCCTAGGACGGCTTGAAAGACCCGGGCCACCATCCGGGTGTAAGTGGCCCCCGAGTTCTTTAGGCCGAAGGCCATCACTAGGTAGCAGAAGATGCCCTCGGGAGTCATGAAGGCAGTTTTTTCGGCGTCCTCCTCGTGCATGAATATTTGATGGTACCCTCGGAAGGCATCGAGGAAGGACATGATTTCACACCCCGCGGTCTCATCCACCAATTGATCAATGTTTGGTAGAGGGAATGGATCCATGGGGCATGCTTTGTTGAGATCGGTGTAGTCCACGCACATGCGGAAGGTAGGGGGCTTCTGGGCGAGGACTACATTTGCTAGCCATGAGGGGTATTTCACCTCCTTGATGTGCTTGATTGAGAGGAGCATGGCGACCTCCTTCTTCACGAATTCCCTCCTCTCGGCGGAGAGGGGTCTCCTTCGTTGTTGTACTGCTTTTGCCGAAGGGTCCACCGAGAGGCGGTGGGTGATGACCCTTCGGCTGATTCCCGGCATGTCCTCCGGCCCCCATGCAAAGACAGTGGAGTAGGCGCGGAGGGCGTCGGTGATACCGGTCTTCAAATCTTCAGGGAGCTGGGCTCCAATCTTCACGACTCTCTCCGGCTGGGCCGGATCGAGCGCAAAGTCTTCTACGTCCTCGGCCGGTTCAGCCCTCGGCCTTCTTTCCTCTTGGTCGACGGCTCCGGTGATGGTGTCAACACGGAATTCCGTCTTGCTTACCTTCTTAGTGACCTGAAGATAGCAGGCGCGGGCAATTTTTTGGTTCCTCCCTCAGTCGCTTTACCGGGGGCATATGAGTGACTTCCCCCACGTAAAGCGATTGAGCCCACTTCTTTCGTTGGCTGGTGGAATCGCCCCCTGTATTGCCACCGGTGATCATGAGGATGTGGCGTTTCTTCTCCTGGTAGTGGGGGTACTCCTCCTCCTCTTCTTCCAAGTTTCCGATCTCCCTCTTCTTGCCGAGGGGGATGGTGTTCGGATTTACCCAGGAATTTACCTTCGTATGGTGCCCTCGGGGAGGTCCCTGATGAGAAGGTCCCTTCTGCCGAGGGCTCTGGAAAAACTGGGACAGGTGCCCTGCCTGTATTAATCTCTCGATGGCCGTCTTCAGCTGATGGCAGTCATCGGTCCTGTGCCCCTGGTGCCGATGGAAGCGACAGTAGGGGAACTGAGGGTTGATAGCGTGTACCTCCGGGGGTGCGCGAGAATCGCGCTCAACGAGGCCCCTCTCCTCGGCAAAATCGAGGATGATGCTGGCGGGGTGCGTCAATGGGGTCCGAGGGCGGTCCAGGAGAATGGGCTGGGCCCAAGTCTTAGGGTTGCTCCTATAACCTCCCCCGGGCTTGGCTTGGCCTTGCCGAGGGCGGTCATCAGAGGGTCCCGAAGCCTTGGGGCGATTTGGAGGAGCCCCCGGCCCTCGGTTGTGCTTGTTGTCAGCCCTCGGGGGCTGCTGGTCCGGATGCTGGTGATACTTCTCCACCTCCTCGGCCTCAGCATATCGGTCCCCCCGCTGCAAAGCCCTTATGTAGTCGCGGGGGGGGGGGGGGGGGTTCAATGATGAGGCTCCTTGAAAAGTTACCGGTGCGGAGGACGGTTTGTAGGAGGGCCAGGAGGGTCCCGTCATCAGCACCGTCGACCTTGTCAGCCTCCGTCCTCCAGCGCTCCAGGAAATCCCGAAGGGTCTCATCCTTCTTCTGGCGTATTGTTAGGAGGTGGGAAAAGTGCTTCCTTGTGCGACGCCTCCCGGCGAATTGTGTCAAGAATCGTTGGGCGAGTTCTTGCCACGAATCAATTCAGCCCTCGGGCAGCCTGTTGAACCAGTCGTATGTTGGTCCCTCTAAGGTGGAGAGGAACCATCGACACAAATATTCGTCTGATGCCCCCACCATCATCATGCTGTTCTGGTATTTGCTGTAGTGTTCCTGGGGGTCCGTTTTCCCGTTGTAGGGCTGTATGTGTTGCCCTCGGTATTTTTCCGGGATCCGGGCCGCCAATACCCTTGGGGTAAATGGCGTCCGAGTCCGGAGCTGGATGACGGGTTCCCCGGAGCCCTCGGCCACCCTCTTTTGTAACTCCTCCATTTTGGCCATCATGGCCTCGTATTTGAGATCTGAATGAGGGGTGGAGGTGGTGGCGTGAGCTTTGTTGGACTCCATCTCGTCGAGCCGGCGTTGGAGGGCCGCAATAATCTCGTCCCGGGGATCCTTCGGGAGGGTCTCCGTCCCCTGCGAACGAACCCGGGCCGAGTGGGCCTGGTTGATTTGGTAGCGAGCATCATCGGCATGAAGGGGTGCCTTGCCTTTGTCCCGAGGGGGACGCTCCTCGTCTGCCCTCGAAACAGATCCCCCGCTTTCCTGGGGCCTTTGGAGTGCTTTCCCCCCGAGGCGGTCTTGGACCCCTCGGCGGTCTGGCCCTCCTCCGAGCCGGTTGAGGGCGGAAGTACGGGGCCTTTCCCTGTTGTCATTATGGCGGTCCCGGGACTGAACTTCTTGGGAGGACGTTTCTTGGGCCACCACCCCTTCGTCGTTTCTCACCCGAGGGGTGGGATTTCCGAAGGGGTGTGGCAAAGGGGGAAGTATGATGTTTTCCCCAACCTGAGGGTGAGCTGGAGCCAGGGTGCCGAAGGCACCCGGGTTCTGGGTGAGCGTCTGGATGAAGGCGGAGAGCGCCGATTGCACGTCGATGGTGAGAACCGGAGGGCTGACTTGGTCATCGCTCCGGTTTTCTTCTTGGCCACGATGCTGAGGCGGGCATCGGGGGCATTTTGTTGGATCTGAAGGCGTAGGTCGACAGCCGCCTGTTCCAGCCCAGCGATGACACCGCCCTCGGGAGCCCTGTGACAGGCTTCGGGGGCGTTGACGTCGCCGAGGGCCAGGTTCTTGTCTTCTACGTTTTTTGAGTTGGCACGTGTTCTCCTCACCATTTTGATAGAGGGCTAGTGTTTTGTGTTTGGTCGAGGGGGAGGGTTTCTTACTCGATTGTTCAACCTCTCAACGAGAGCACCAAATGATGGATAGTCTACCCGGGGGTATATATCCGAAGGGTTATTACGGGGAGTAATTTAGAGAGAAGTCAGAGCAAGTAAGTAAAAGTAGAGAGAGAGTGTATTCAGTGTGAATGCCGTTTTCAGCGTGGTTACAAATGAGGAAATGGGGTGCTATTTATAGTAGCAATAAATGCCGGGCAGGGACACGTGTCAGGCGCTCATTGGCCGAGGGTCACCTCAACTGGTTGGCGCTGGCAGCCGCATGTGGCCGCATTTAATGCGGTTGTTGGATGGGACGTCTGTGCGGGGTACGGTGATCTGTACGCATGTGAGGCGGATATCTTGTCGAGTGAGATGCCTTCGGCTATAGAGCAGTAGCCGAGGGCTCTTCCACCCGATGACACCCTGGTGCCGAGGGCTCACAGTGCCGAGGGCTACTGTTTTCGCCGTTTTCTCCCAGTTTCTTAATTTGCTTGAGAAACCCGTTCTGTGAGAATCTGGAGCCTTCGGCCAGGGGGCCGAAGGCACCCCTGGCGCGTTGTGCGGACTGCTTGGTACTCTGGGCGCTGTGATTTGGGCCTGTTGGGCCTGCTGGGCCTTCGCAGGAGTAGTAGGAGTCTGTGGGCCGGGGGTTCCCGGACCATATACTCCATCATCTTTGTTTTTGTCTTTAATTTTGTTGCCAGAATAAATGTTTTTTTGAATATTAGTTTTTAATTAAATATCGGCCCCTGATCTGACCTAGAACATTTAGGGATAATAGTAACGAGTCGAAGGATTGAAAATATTGTTAATATGGTGACGTTCAAGGCACAAAGAAGAATATCATTGTTTACAAACAAATATTACATAATGCATAGAACTCGTATAGTATTGTTCTCAAAACATTCTTTTTGTGTAATGCATAAGTGAGATAGTAGTTTCCATTAAAACAAAAACAAAACTGGATTCACTTTTATTATACTTTGTATGCAGTAAATAAATGTACAAGCGATTGAAGATGGAGAAAAACCAAACAAAAAAAACAATCAGCCCCGTCCTCAATAAAATCAATCACACACTGGAGTGGCACGTGCTAAAAAAATCTGACAGCTTCCATGCATCAAACAAAATGATGATCGGGCCGTCGGGTAAAGCTGGAACCGGAAGAGTCATAAATTCCATCGATGTCAGCAAACGAGAGCCGGAACCCCATATCCATCTGCATCTCCGCATCCATTCTCTGGCTCATCGATTCCGCCGAGATCATCGACCCCGCCGCGCTTCCATTGGTCCGAGCATACTGTTGCACCACTAGCACCGAGAACGACGACTCGAACTCCGACGTCACCAGCAGGTCCCCCACCGCCCCAATCTCCGGGCACTCGCACCAATCGGCTAGCCCCGACGTCAGCGGCGATGACCCCACGCCTCTCCCCCTGCCCACCACGTACAGGTCGTGGTTTCGGTGATCCAGTGATTTCAAAGCCTTTGTGAACTCCTCCTCGTCCTCCAGCACCAACTCCACGAACGTAATCGCCGGATTCTCCGCGGTCTCGGTTTTGAAGCCATTGAGAAATTCCTCGTCCGCTAGTTTCTCCCTCTCGACATCGTTTATACCGATCGTCACGAAGCCGCCACCGTCTTTCTCCGCTGCCTCAGCAGCATCTTTCCCGGGGATGAACCTAATGACGGTCAGATGAACGTCATCTGCGTGGCCTGACATCCGGCGTGCGTACGATAAAGCCTCCCTGTCATCCGGGCCACCAAGGTACAACATCGCGATGTTCCTCGAGGGTTCGGAACGACCCCCCCTTCGTTGAACCAAGATTCCAACGGAACATGGGGCGGACGCTAGAACCTCCTCGTTCACGCTCTGAATGGCCGGGTTAAGAATAGTTTCATCCTCTCCGTCGTCTCCTCGTTGTTGCTTGTGGAATGGAAGGATGATGAGAGTCGCCCGCTTCTCCTTAGCAATTCTGCAAATGTCTTCTTCCATGGTGGAGAAAGTCGACCTAGCCGTCAAGACCTGAGTGCTGACCCCTTCGGATCGGAGCTCATAGTTGTCAAAGGCGCTTATGATTTGGTTGGTCTGTGCCTCTTCGTGTGTCAGGTTTTTGTGCCCTACGGAAGTGGCGGCACGCCTGCCGGAGCCTGAAGTGTGGACAACAAGCATCATCGGCGCTCGCCCGACTACCTCAAGTACTTGGATGCCGAAGGCGGTGATGGGGGACGCTTTGGTGGGATTTGAGGATTCAAGGAGACTGATAACACCAGGAACATTGATGGAGTCATAGATGCAGGTCATGATTCTGAGCTCGTCTTCTGGTTTGGCCTTCAGTATGGTCCGCCGCTTGTAGGGCTCTGAGTTTTGAGAGGGGCAGAAGAGGGCGGTCATGGGCGTGACAAGCATTGTCATCACTAGAGATGCAATCACCATGATTGTGTATGCTTGCGTTGTCAAAACTTGTTCCACTTGCCCCACTTCGAGAATGACCATAACCATGACGCTTTTGGTGTTGGTGAGCATGCCAACACCGATGGCCTCCTTGGCCGTCATGCCACCGGTGAAACAAGACGCGACAAGCGCGCTCACAATCTTCGCCGAGCATGCCAATGCGATGAGCACCAAGGCCATAGCGAGGCTGGTTCCACCCTCGCTAATTGTGCCAATATTCGTTCTCAGCCCACAAACCACGTAGAAAACCGGCATCAAGATCCCCATCACGAAATCCTCAAGCCTGTTGAGGATCTCATTCCCGAGGAGGTCGGCGGGCATGATGAGCCCGAATAAAAATGCCCCGACCATTGGGTGGGTACCGATTGCATCCATGACACACCCGGACATCGACATCCCGACGAGGGTGGCACAGATGTAGAACTCGCTATACCCCCCTTGACCCACCGACTTCTTCTGGACGATCCATTGCAGGGTCGGGCGTAAATACTGGGTTGAGAATATCACATATACGACCGAGCATAACACCGCCCACGGAAAGTTCGATGAGCTGCCTGTCGCCATCAGTCCTATGGCTAGAAAAACCCATGACAATCCGTCGTTGATGACTGAGGAGGACAAAGCCAATTTGCTGATCTCGGTGTTGAGGGCCTTTTGGGAATCAAGAATCTTTGCCAAGACTGAGAAGCCGGTGACGGTGAGGGCGCCACCGCAGTATATGAACCCAGACCAGTTGTCAGCCTCATTGGGGAGGCTGAAGAATAGGATTGTTCCGATGAGGAAAGGACAGAGCGTTCCTGAAAAGGCGACTACCTTGGATTTGGTTCCGGTGCTTTGCCACATGGGCTTTATTTCCATTTGGAGTCCCGTGATAAAGGCGTAGAAGACGAGGGCAAAATGAGCCATCGTCTCCAGTACTTCAAAATGGTAGTTGGGGAAGAGTAGCCTTCGGAGCCCATCTATCCTTCCAAACACACTTGGCCCCAAGACCATTCCACTCTGCAATTCACCAAAACAACACATCAACAACTTTGTCAAGTTATATACCCTTACATATAGATTGAAAACATAACACATTGCCAAATACTTCCAGCCATACTAATTTAATGTTTTTGCACCCAAGACATTTAAGGGTTAAAAGAATAAGTTTTGATTTTTTTTCTTTATTAAAACTAAATAGCCTAAATCCCGTTTTGTTTTTTGAATTGTTCCAAAAATATGATCACTTTCTTAAATTGGATTCCGTTAACTTTCTACTTTACCAATTTGTCCCTTTGCCTATCATTTTTAACTTGATGTACAACCCACCAAAATTGGTGAGGCAAATGTCATGGGACATTTGTCAATACATTTATCTATCATTTGACTCTTTACTTTTTGTTAATTCATTTTTTTGCTTCTTACTTTTTGAAGGTTAGAATTGTAAAACGGTCACTCTATACTTTATTTATTAAGACCTGCACTACTTTTAATTATTTTTTAATTTTTACTCTGTTCGTCCCATAAAATAGTTACCATTAGGATTTGGATCGGAGTTTAAGAAATGAAAATAAAATTAAAATGTTTGATTGTGGTTGAGTAATAAAGTTTAAGTACTAATTAAAAAGCACGATCATCAAATCTGAGTTGCATTTTTAAACTCATTGTTTTTTCTTTAATTGAATTTAGGACATACTTTTATACGATAGTATTTCAGTTGACAAAATAGCTTGGTTCACTATTTTTTTCTTTTCCAATAATGAAATTACTCCGTATTAAATACTGTTCCGTAGTACGTATATGGATGACATTTTGGGAGAACTACCAAATAAGCTCTCGAACTTTCATAAAAAGTGCAAATAAGTCCTTTTATAGGAGGCTTTGTTCGACTGTCGCCATTTGGGGCGGTTTCCGGTGGAATATGTTTATGAAATTTTTTGGGCATTTTCTTCATTAAGTCTAGTTTACTCATACCAAATTTCAGATAACAATTCAATCGGGAATGCAGTCAAATGAATTTTTGAATATAACTGCGCAGTCAGACAGCGCAGTATATTTCAGAAAATCATTTGACTGCCTTTTCGATTGAAATTTTAGCTGAAATTTGGTATATGTAAACTAGACTTAATGAAGAAGATGCTTAAAAAATTTCATCAAAACATTCCACCGGAAACCACCCCAAATGACGAGAGTCGTACAAAGTTCGAGGGCTTATTTGATAGACTTTTTTGATAAGCTACATGCATGAAAATTAAGAATAAGTGGATTTTTAATTTTAGGTTAAAACTGAAAAATGATGAATTAATAATCCCTCATTTTCTTATTCGTTTTTATTTATTAAAAGGTGGTGCGAAAAACTCACAAGAATTTCAGCAACGAGGGGAGGCTGATTGAAGGGTTTGAGGGCGAAGTTGAGAAGGCGAGAGGCGAGGAGGGCGACGGTGATTTGGAGGAGGAAGAAAGGAATGATGGGTGTGAGTGGATCGGGGCCTTCCCATACGCCATTGGACCTGTATATCGTCTCCGACCAACACGCCACCGTCTGCCCCAGTTTCTCCACATCGATTTCCGGCCCGGAACTCGGCGGTGGCGGAGCAGACATCATATATATTACCTGTACTTATTACTAATTAAGGTTATGCCTTTTCCTTGACGTTGTCAGCTAGCTCCGGCCCGCTCCTCCTTCCAGGGCTAGCCTGCAAGTCGGATCGGCCGGCCGGAATATATATATTTCGTCTTAAATTAATTAGGTATGTGCGTCACTGCATATGGGTGAAAATTCAATTGAAGGACAGGGAAGAGCAAAATGAGCTAGAGACGATCTATCATCCACAAATCACAATATAATATTCTTACTCGTTCTCTCATAACTCAATGGTTTTCCGTTCATTTAGGCAAACTTTATATACTCGTATAATATTTGAAGTGCTCCTGGTGGATTTTTTTTTTTAAATTTTTGAGCATTTTCAATTCTTTGAAAAGTGTAAATTTTTGTTCATAAATTTCTGCTCAAAATTTTATCCGTAAATAATTTGTTGAAAAATATTGCTCTAAAATATATATTCCGTATGTCTAGTAATATATAAAAAAATGTTATTCAGTAATTTATTTAACCGACTTTCCAATTGAATTTTGATTTGAAATTTTGTGGACCGACCGGGCCGTCTTTTAGCATGTTAATTAGGTTAAACAAAACATGACCGCACTTTCATGTGGGTCCCATATTTATAATACACTAGTCGTTGTATTTTTAGGTCACTAACATTAATTAATTATTTATTTAATTAATTAATTAATTAATAATATAATATAATATAATATAATATAATATAATATAATATAATATAATATAATATAATATAATATAATATAATATAATATAATATAATATAATATAATATAATATAATATAATATAATATAATATAATATAATATAATATAATATAATATAATATAATATAATATAATATTATATCATATTATATTATATGATATGATATAATATAATAGAATAGAATAGAATATAATATAATATAATATAATATAATATAATATAATATAATATAATATAATATAATATAATATAATATAATATAATATAATATAATATAATATAATATAATATAATATGATATGATATGATATGATATGATATGATATGATATGATATGATATGATATGATATGATATGATATGATATGATATGATATAATATGATATGATATAATATAATATAATATAATATGATATGATATAATATAATATAATATAATATAATATAATATAATATAATATAATATAATATAATATAATATAATATAATATAATATAATATAATATAATATAATATAATATAATATAATATAATATAATATAATATAATATAATATAATATAATATAATATAATATAATATAATATAATATAATATAATATAATATAATATAATATAATATAATATAATATAATATAATATAATATAATATAATATAATATAATATAATATAATATAATATAATATAATATAATATAATATAATATAATATAATATAATATAATATAATATAATATAATATAATATAATATAATATAATATAATACAATATAATATAATATAATATAATATAATATAATAATGCATACTATCTTATATGAATATGGGTTGTGGCTAAATTCATATTCCACTACTCCATATAATAATGCCCTCATAAATTGAAACACTTTACAAAAAAATGTAGAGACTAATTATTTGAAAGGGAAAATTTACCACATGCAATTCTTTAATTGCATTATTTAATGAGTATTTAATTGATTTGAATATAATAAGAATTTAGATCGGGAGTATTTTTTTGTTTTTTATATTAAAATGAGGTCTCAATTTTGCATTTTGAACAGGGTCCCGCAAATTTATTAAACGGTCCTGTGGACCGATAGATATTTTCACCAAAATACTCCACCGAGATCTAGTGTCATATTTGAAATTAGTGCCATTGAAGGGTAGGATTGAGATCCTCAGCCATAAGGCAGAGTGCCTTACTCAAATGGATGGCGCAGATTAAATCAAGCCTCGAGATTCGTGCAAAAATGGGACCCTTGATCTTCAACCCTTCATTTTTTGATCTGATGGATGAAAACAACCAGGCACCCTCCTTGTCTGCTTAACCAAGGCAGAGATGTCGAATCCTGAAAGGTAGGTTCAATGTCAGTGAGAGAGAGACTGAGAGCCATTCCTCCTCCACCGGCAACTTCTCCCGTCACCACCTTTAAACGTCTAATTTTCTTCAATTCAAAAAAAAAGTTTAATGTTAAAATATTAAATTTAGACGTTTTTTCTTACTCCCCCATATAAAACCATAAATAGATCTCATCCGTTCATCTTTGAACTATGATTCTTTGAACTATGTTCCTCAAATCGGGGAGTATAGAGCATTCCAATGCAAAAGTGTCAATAGCACACACATGACAAGAGAAATAAAAACATAAAATAATTAATTAATATAATGTCTTTCACTTTTTTTATTGCGCAATAAAGTTTTGGTACTTTTCATTCACAATGTCAAGCATAATAAATTTTTGGTATTTTTATTCACAATGTCGAACACAATTTTCCTACTCCATCATACTTTTCTTTCACTCGCATGTCACGTGTGCACTGTTGACACTCTTTATCTATAGGCATGCTCTTCTACTGTACCACTACTATGTTATCTACTTGTTGGTGGTGTTTGTTTTATAGCGTTTTGGACACAAAACGCTATTAATATCAGCGTTTTCAAGGGTAGGAAAATAACGTTTTCACTCCAAACGCAAGTGCCAAAGGAACCCGTTATCTACTTGTACTCCTTTTATGTACGGAGTGATATATGTATATCCTAACAGAGCAGTGTGTATAAGTGTATTTGAGCTATATATTTAAGAGTATGCGCATTCATGATTTCCAAATATCCTAAGAGTACATTTAAGAGTGATATATGAAAGATATATTTACGGGCCTCACTTTAAATTGATGACACGTATTTTTTATGATTAATCTCGTACCCCTAAATTAACTTCAACTATCAACCCCAAACAAGCAAATATGTATGGTCCTGCATTAACTAATTAGCTTTAATCTCACAAATAATCTATCAAATATGTACCCTACGGTCTACCAAGTAATCTATGTCACTGATCTCACAAATAATCTATCAAATATGTACCTACAGCCTACCAAGTAATATATGTCACTCAATCATGCTCCAAAAAATAATCATTTTATCAACGCGATCTCTTAACAATCTCATGAACGGGAATGCCTTTGGGATGTTTGAAAAATGGTGTTTCGGCTAAAAAAATGACGGTTTGATATCTTTTAGTTTTTTTAATAAGTGAAAATGTTGTTTGGTAAATAGGCGTTCAGCCCTAGCGGTTTTGGACGAAACCGTTGAAATAGGAACGCTGCAAATAGTAGAGTTTTGGGCTAGTCTTTTAAAATATTGTTGAAAATTAAACTTGTTTTTTGGGCCTAATTAATATTTACTTTAGTTGTTGTTAGGAAGGCCCAGGTGATAGAAAAATGTAGAAGGAATAAATTCTAGAGCTTCTCTAGAAGATAGGGTCTCTAGAACTCTCCTATCATTAATTGTATAGAATTGTCTAGAACGCATCAATTATAGAAGAGTCTAGATACTTTTGTACTGGTATAAATAGAGCTCTCCTACCACCACTTTGTATCAAGCAAATCAAGCAAATTGAGTTGTTCTAATAAAAAGAGTTATTCCCCTTTGTTCAAATATCTCTTCCATAATATATTTAATTTAGCCTCCTAGTTTCCCAAATCTTCCTTCATTTATTTCCAACAGTGGTATCAGAGCCGTTCGGTTATCACCCAAAAATGGCCCGTCCTCTTCAAGTTCCTCCATTAAAAAGGAGAATTATGATAATTGGAGCATTCGCATGAAGGCAATACTTGGTTCGGAAAATGTGTGGGACATGGTAGAGGAAGGCTTCGAGGAACCCGATAACATCAACGCCTTAAATCAAAATCAAAAGAATGCCTTGAGGAGTACTAAGAAGAAAGATCAAAAGGCGCTCTCTATCATCCATCAAGCTTCGGATGAAGTCATGTTCGCAAAGGTGGCATGTGCAACTACAAGCAAAGATGCTTGGGAGATATTAGACAATTCATTCAAAGGAGTAGATAAGGTGAAGAAAGTAAAACTTCAAAGTCTTTGAGTGAGTTTGAATCTTTAAACATGAACTCTTCGGAATCTATTGACGACTATTTCTCAAGAGTTCAAACCGTCGTGAATCAACTAAGAAGATATGAAGAAGAAATCAAAGACAACCGTGTGGTTGAAAAAATTCTACGATCTTTATATTCAAAATTCGATTACATAGTTGTGGCAATAGAAGAATCTAAAGATCTAGAAACAATGACGGTTGATAATCTCTTGAATTGGGATCTCTTCAAGCTCATGAAGAAAAACTCAAGAAGAGAATAAAGCAAGAGCCATTGGAGCAAGCCCTTCAAACCAAGCTCACCTTAAAAAATAAAGAGATTTTTCAAGAGGGGAGAAGTCAAATTTCAAGAGGGTGCGGTCGAAGCCAAGACTATGGAAGAGGAGGTTATAAGACTTTCAACAAAGAAGAGAGAAGTCCACATTTCTATCCATCAAGAGGCCGTAGAAGAGGATGTTTTTCAAGACCAAGGTATGATAAGTATCAAGTTCAATATTACATTTGTCAATAATTTGGTCACTTTGCCTCCGGCTGTAGATTGGCAAAAAATAAAGTTGAGGAACGAACAAATCTTGCCAAAGAAGAAGAAGAAAATTCAACATTGTTGATGGCCCATAAAGGAGGAGAAAGTGACACCAAAATGACATGGTACTTAGATACGGGAGCAAGCAACCACATGTGCGGGAAGAAATATATGTTTGTCGAGCTTGATGAATTGGTAAGTGTAAATATCTACTTTGGAGATTAATCAAAAATCCCGGTAAAAGGAAAGGGGAAAATTTCAATCCGGTTAAAAAATGTAAAAAATGATTTCATCTCTAATGTCTACAATGTGCCCAACATGAAATCAAACATTTTAAGTTTGGGGCAACTTTTAGAAAAGGGATATGACATTCATATGAAAAATCACACCCTTTTGATGAGAGATAATAATGGGGGTTTGGTTGCGAAAGTACCAACGTCAAAAAATAGAATGTTTTCATTAAACATTGAAAAGGGGGAGCTAAATGTTTGAAAGCATGTTTTAAATATGCATCATGGCTTTGGCATTTGAGGTTTGGGCATCTTAATTTTGGAGGTTTAAAATTGT